GGAACTGAACTTCCAGTCAGCTCCAGAATTGAACAGGGGGCTTCCGGTTAGGAACTTTGTGGCTCCTGGTGTTTTCTTTTCTGTGGGAAACGGGTCCAAATGGCTCTTTGAGTGTTTAAGTTTGCCAACCCCTGTCTTAGGACAAACTTGTCTCCACCCTCCCCGTCAAAATTAATTTCTCCTGAATGTCCATAACCAATTTTNCACTTTTCGCCTCTAAAATTGTTTGTTTCTTTGTTTGTTAAACAAAAATTACAACTTTGGAACAAACAAAATGAAAAAACTAACACTTGACAGGGACAATAGACACATTAGTGCACTTACACATGCCCTGTAAACATGGGATGAGATCCACAGAAGTCGTTAGAATTAAAACTGTAAAATTTAGTAGCTTAGAAAACTGAACTCTGTAACTCTGTTACAATTTTTTTTTTAAAAAAAAATCTGAATAGATATGCCTGATGTTTACATGAAAGCAAAAGAAAGCTTTAGAAAGATAGAGGAAATTTTTATCAAGGACATGTGGATTATTTGTAGCACTTGAAGATTGTCTACAAGAAGCAGGTTACCCTCCAAGATTGCATACATGAGCAAGGATTGTCTTATGTCCTTGTGTGCTTCCTTCTCCCCCAGAGAGTGAGAACCTATTTCCCTGATATCCAACCCTATCCCCCCCCCCATCTCAATCATATCCTTTTAAAGTCTCTGCCAAAAATTCTCCTATTTCCAAGTCAGGGACACGTTCCAAATTATATTCTTATCATGGTTGTTCCTTTTTAAAAAAAAAAAACAAAGCTAAGCCTTCTGTACCAAATTATCCCTGATTCCACCCGCAGAAATGTTGAGTTCTGCAGCTAATTGCCTATTGCAAATATATGCTTTTGATAATCACCAGGAATGGCAAAAAGCAATAGCTGGGAATGCTGGAAATTGTAGTCAACAATATCATGATGGCATGATATTTGTTCTACATTGGTAAGCCTCACTGACAACTTCATCACCGCAATGAAACCAGGTTTTCCTTGACGCACACGTTCAATTCTAATTTTGTAGACTAAGACCAGAAAAGGTTGGAAAATTATTATGGGTAATTTCCAGTTTAGTTTGCACCCAGTTCACTCCCAGTCACTTCCTTTATCCAGATGGGAGCAAGCACACCTGTCACCCAGCTCAACAAGCAGATTATATAAACGTATAAAAACCTTGGCAAACATCAAAATAGGTACCAGGCAAAAGCAGGGAGAAAAGGGAGAGATGAACTACATGGAAAAATTTCTATTATCTATACATCTATCTGTATAGATAGCAATCAAAGGCAACTTTCAAAACCACTAGAAACTGCACTGTGGGTAACTAGCATAGACAATCCCAAAGGAAATGACTTTTGGGTATTCCAGCCTTAACTCTCTTATGTACATAAGAGCAGAAAATTAGAGATGGAAAGGAAGACACTGAATAATCTCTCCTTCATTCTGCACCATAAAGGAAATAACTGGTGGATGGGAAGGAAACATCCAATATAAAACTGAAGCTTATTGACTGACAACATAAATTTCTGCGTTTTGTCTTGCAGAAGGAGATGCTGGCGAGCTATTCATGTCTTCTCATTATAATGTTTGGTTCTCAGTATAACAGCCATCCCATAAATAGCTTCCATGATTCACTATTAGGAAGCAGAAAAGATTTACATGTATTGATTTTCAGTAAAATCCGCACATATATTTTTTTTCCTCATTCTTGTATAGGGTAAAAGTGAAATATTGTTTCAATAAATACTTATACAACACTTTGCCATTTTTCATGTCACATAGCAAAAACAATTACAGTTGTCATCATTATACAACCTGAATCTTCATTGTTGGTAATAAAAACAGCAACAACAACAACTGAAAGTCGACATTTATAATATCTTTCCTAATTGCTGAAATAATTCTTATCTACTATGAAAATAGAGGAGAGACTGCTTGCTTCAACACGGTAAACTCTTAACCTACTTTTTATATTTTCAGCGGTCTCCATATATTCTTTCACTTTGACCACTGCTATGATTAGCAGAAGGAAAAGAATACCGTTTGATGCCAGAAAATTATTTGTTAATAACATTCTGGTGCTTTGGGGAAGAATACTATGCTTTTTTTTCCAGGTGGCTGGGAGAAAAAACACTCTGATAAATAATAGCACACCTAGCTTTCTAATCCAGGACAGTTTTAGCAGAAGAGTCCAAACTAGATTTTTTTATAAAGGGCTGATTGATACAATACTTTCAATTTTCATTGTTCGTATTATAGACTGCATGGCAATTTTTCCATCCCATTAAATAAAATTAGTAGCTTTTAAATAGAATTGGTATGCTGCTTAAAGAGGCAGTTGGAGTGAACTGAAGAGGTTAAAGTCTTAGATTAAGATCAGAAAATTCCAAATTCAACTTCCCATTTTGTCTGAATGGCTTTGTGTCAGTTATTGTCTTTCAGCCCAATTCTACCTTTCAAAGTAGAGCTGAGGATAATATGGCTGAATCACACTTCTAGCAGTTTCTAAGGCTATGGAAAAAGATGTGTTTATTTTTAAGGAGCTTCTAGTGTTCTTTTTCCCTTACACACACACACATATGTACACATACATATAGACCAGGGGTGTCAAACTCGATTGCATTGAGGGCCGCATCAGGGTTGTGTTTGAGCTGGGGGGGGGTTGGGGGGAACATGGCCAGGGTGGGCATGGCCAGCTGAACATCACTAGTGACGGGGGCGCCTATGGTGGCCCAAGTGCTCTGCTAGCGAAAACAGGCTCTCGAGCTCTGTTTTTGACTGCGACAGCATCCTGCAACCTTCCTCCAGTGAAAATGGAGCTGGGAGGGCTGCACACAGCCCTCGCAAGCTCCATTTTCACTGGCAGAGTCACCGCGGGCCAGTTGTCTGCTGTTCCAAGGGTGGCCCTGCAGGCCAGATATAAGCACCCCATGGGCCAGATCCGGCCCTCGGGCATTGAGTGACACCCCTGAGAGAGATAATATTTACATCTGGATTTCCAGATTTTAATCCTTTGCATCCACAATTCACTGTGTACTGCAATTCAGTTCGAGGGGTGGGGTGGGAAGGGAAATGTCCTTAACTCTGAACTCTCATGCTCTGCAGAACAGCTGAGTATTGTGTTAGTGAAGAATTCTGGATTAGAAAGACTGAATGTTTTGTTTTCTGACATTGTGTGCACTATGATTCCCTTTTAGAAAGTCGTACATGTACCTCATTCCACCTTATGTAAAACATTTGATTCTGCCCCACACTCCTAGCATTTCACCTTTTCTCATCCCTTTCACATTTCTGAATCTCACACCTCATGTTATTGTTTGTTCAGACCTCACCAAAGGATACTGCTGACTAAGCATCACCCTTGGTGTCAGTTCCAGCTGACCTGAGGAATTCCCACCCAACCAGGCCCAGAAGCTAAGGACAGGAACAGTTCAGCTTCCTGCTCTTGTTGGTGTTTCCCTTCCAGCTGGAACCAGGACAGGTGGGAGGCAGGAACACATTTCTCAATTCTCCATAGCAGGCTTCCACATCTTTTAGATACAATAGGAAGCTCTTTGCTAGGGTGTAGCAATCTAGATGTGAAATTTAGGGAGTAAAGAAGGCAGGGGATTAAATGTTTCCTTACACAAAATACTATCGTTGAATGGGGAACAGCTCCTGTCTTAAATCCAACTTCTCGTCAGACTGAAGGACTGCATAGAAAGAGTTCAAGTCAGAAAAAACCCAGATCAACTTTCTTCCTTTCAACAAATCATCTCCTGGCAAGATTCTCACAACATGCTAAACCCTAAACTGAAATTAACAAAACACAATCGTTGTGTTCACACAGAATATTATGTCCTCTCCTTGTCATGCCCCTGTCGGAGCCTGAATCTGTGGAGGAGGACGAGTAGGAGCTGGGGCCTACGGAGGTTGAGGGGGCAGGTTCGTTGGCTTCGGAGTAATTCGGGGAGGAGCAGGACGGGCCAGCCCCAGGTCCCTCTGGCTTGGGACGGCTTGCCAGCAGGGAGGAACGGGGGTAGGATGACTGAGAGAGGACAGGCTATGGAAATGAGGAGCGACAGAGTTCAGGTGATGAGCAAGGACTGCCCCCTCCTGATCCCTGAGCATAGAGAGTAGAAAGGAGGCAGGAACAGTGCAGGCCGACCCAACAACTCGTGAGGAGAGCACCCCACCCCTCTTCACAAGGCACACCTGGGGACTGAGACTTAAGGAGATGCTGTGGGGAGGGGACAAATTTGTCAGGAACAAATGCTGAATTTGTGCAATTTTGTGTGCCGTTGCCAACATCTGGAATTTGCAGGACTTCTTGCTTTATTCCTTGCTTTGTGGACTCATTGCTTTCTTCCTTGCTTCATGGATTTATTGCCTTGTTCTTTTGCCTTGCTTTGAAACAGTTGTGCTAACAGCCTTTTGCTGGACTCCTCGCAGCCAGAGACTGCTATGCATGTGAGAGAGCTTTGCTTCAGGACTTGCCATAAATGTGGGAGTGTTTGGGGAAAAGTTGGAGAAAGTTGGAGAAATAAAGGGATGTCTTGAACTATCAGCTGACTGTGTTGCCTTTGTGCCTTGCCCCGGGTGGTCACACTCCTCCCAAATAATCCCTTTTATAGTTTAATGCGAATTCACACAATATATTTCTTAGAAATACTGGCCCATAATCTATATAGACTGATCTGATATGTTGGGCAAACCCCACAATTATATGATCTCTGGATCATAGTTTTGGCTTGACTACTAAGGATCAACCATTGACTGCTATTCTGTATTGGTTTAAAGGCCAGCCTGACGATATAAAAACGGTGTGGACCACAGTATGAATTCATGTAATCCAGCCGCCAGAGAGAAAAGACCCCAACCCTGTGAGACAACACACACCATCAACTGTAATGCCTGTTCAAATAGCACTTTCTCAGACTTCAACATGATGCATGATGCACTTCTTTAAAAGCTTGGTTAACAATAACTTACCCAATGTGATTGGTCCTTAAAGAGATCTCCAACTCCCTCAGCACTTTGGTAGATTCCTGCACCCTCCGACGGAACTTCTGTAAGCATAAATAGCTCCTTGTTCTAGTACTATACAGCACAATCATTTGTTTAGACAAATGAACCACAATTGCAGGGACAGGATTGTCCATCCATTTGCTTTTCTATCACGCTTCATATCCCTCCCTTTTTGCTTATAAGAAAATAATTTTACCATTAGTTATAGATAGTCATCAACAAGATGGATATTTCCATATGTCAGAATGACCTGGGCTTGATTCAATGGTCACTGTTTGTTTTTTGTTGTTGCTGAGAACAAATAAAATATCTCTTCTGTAAAGCAAGGCCTGCACTGCAGACGTCCAGTGGTATGAAGACTGCGTGTAGAAGTGCCCACAGAGTCTAGTTTGCGCGTTCAGCACTGCCAAATTTCTTCCTGCCCAGTGAATTAGTAGATAGATCACCACAACTTGTGGGGCAGTAGAATATATTTATTTTTCACAACTACAATTGTGGTAACTGCCACTCCAATGACTTATCCCTTATATAGATAGTCCTTAACTTACAACCACAATTGGGACCAGAATTTCCATGGCTAGCAAGGCAGTTGTTAAGTGAGTCGCCCTTAATTTTAAGGCCTTTTTGTGCCACAGTTGTTGAATGAACCACCACAGTTATTAAATGAATCAGGCAGTCATTAAGTTAATCCATGCCCCCCCCCCACACCTTTGACTTAGCTTACTGGAAGTTGGCTAGAAAGATCACAAAAGGTGATTGCATGACTCTGAGACCCTACAACTGTTGTAAAATATGTGCTGGTTGCCAAGTGCCAGAATTGATCGTGATTGTGGGGATGCTGCTACAGCTGTAAGTGGATAGGCTGGTCATTGCTTTTTCAGTGGATTATAACTTTGCATAGCCACTTGATTGATTTTAATTTGATGAGAAATAATATTCTGCTTGGGCCAATGTGTGGTATAGTATATATTTTGGTATTCCAAAAAATGTTTTGGTATTCCATAAAGTGTGGGGGAGGGGAGGGTGGAGCTGTTTCTTTGGTCACCATTCTCCAAACAATAGAAGCCATTTTAGGCTTGGAGTAATTTTATTGTCACTTTAAATGTACACTAATTCGCATACATTAAAATGAAATTTCATTTCATACAGGGTCGTGGCGATATGCACCACATAAACATGATGAGAAAAAAATTACGCATATATTATAGGACACAGGGAAACAACCCAGTCTTGCCGACTTTTCGACGAGGTCCCACTCGCCATCTTTAGGCTGGTGCCCTCGGCTTTGTGCTTCTGCGAGCAAAGTGTGATCGGAGCTGCCGTCTTTCTATAAATATTGGTGGGGGTGTGTGGAGTGCTGGCTTTGTTGCTATAAGCAGGTTAACTGGCTGTGTTGTTACATCTTGATTAGTTGATGGAGTTGATGTATGCAGATTAGTCAGTTATTTCGTAACAGCCTATGTGGCTAAAGTACTAGCTGTGTGCCTATTAGTCTTTTGTGTTGTAATGATCTGGGTAATGTGCTGTGTGATGAAATCCTGAGCTCTAGTGTAGTTGTAACATCCTGAACCTTTGCGTTGTAACCTCCTGAGTTCTGTGATGTAATGTCCTGAGCAGATGGCTGTGATGCAACATCCCGGGCTTTGGTTTGGCTCCAAGTTTGCAGTCTGGCCATGTGTTCATGGCATGTGTCAGTTTGCTCTGTGTGGGGGTGGGGGGTCGGAGGCGGGTGCAGCAGTTGGTGATGCTGCCGTGGTTTGGCTTTTGGATGGTGGTTGCATTTCGTCTATGG